TCGTTACGCGCCGCGCAACGAGCGGACAGCGAAAGTTCCCGCTCGCGAAAGCTTATCTGACACCTTGAATCTGCGGACAGTGGACTTACGAAACGAGCGAGTGTCATCGTTAGAATTCGTGTCGTTCCCTTTGCACCGGCCTCGGACTGGTTCCAAGTTTCATGCTCGAATGATCTTGTAACCACTTTTATAACTATGCGAGGTACCTATCTCGCTTCTTTATTTCCTATCGATTACGCTTTAACGATACGAGCAAATGTAAGCGGCGGTCACTTCGTGTTCGTGCTGGATCTTTACCGTGTGTAATTAATCAAGTTGCTCCGATGCTCGAGCTGACTATCGATATTACGTTTATAATTTATCTTATTCGTTGCAACCGAGGATTTAAGCTCGTGTTTCATTTTGTAGCCAGATATCTCGCGTTCCTTTATACACGGTGTTCGAAATGTAGCCTTTCGGACCTGCAGTTCAGACTTGTAATACTCACCGAGAAGAGCGAGAAATGTCTGATAGACGTAGGCTCTATAATAAATGCAAAAGTAAAGCCTGAGCTTATTATTTACGAGTAATAGAATTTGGTAACGCGTGTTTGAAATTGCATATTGCAATTTTGCATTGTAAAATAGGTACTAGAGAGGGGTGGGGGTGTACATAGAAAGTAAGTACATATGACTCGGGTTAATTAGTACAGCTAGTCGCGAAAGAGCTCGTATAGTCCAAACACATTTCTATCTTATATTAAGTATGTTATATACAAAACAATTAGGGTGTAAATTTTGCACCATTTCTTTGTTTTACACTAAACAACTCGAAACTCGTAAATTTCATTACCCAATGACAAATTTTCTTGTACATTTTCTTCAGCGAGTCTTTCAATTAAAATTTGTAAACACCCTATATAGATATTTTTGAATACTCAGGTACACTTTTGAAATTTTTGAACGTCCTATACGTGGAATACTTTGGATGTATCAAAGTGATAGTGAAATTTAGAAATCGTCGAGGATAAATTACGAAGATTCGGTAATTTATTGAACGTCCTATGGAATTTTAACGAGGGAAACTTAATCGGTCGACGCACACGCACGCAATACTTTTCGCGTTTCACGACGTCGCGTGAAATATTCGAAATACGAATAGGCGATTGGACGGAAGCCATAAAGAAGCACGGGGTATTTTCTCGTCGCTTTATCGGTGGAAGAAGAATGTTCCATTCATACTTTTACGCGCCATTTATGGACGCCTCATGCGCGATATCATTCTTATCAGCACTTCTACGCCGCCTACAATTTAATGCGGCTGTATGCGCATGTAGAGCTATCAGGAAAGGAAAGACGGCGTTGCAAGAAATGCTACCTGCGCGGCAAACAATCGTGAAACTCCTTGTCGACGGGTATTCAATGCCAATCCCGGGGATCCGAATATCGTTCTAATTCTTTGCTCCTTATTTCACGGCGTATTTATCACGCTGTCGTAAAACAATCGGGTATTATCTTCACGGTTATTCCAGCCGTACGAAACGCGTCGAAATCTCAATAAAAGAACACCCTTGTGCGAAAGTAATAAAGAATTACATACAATTTCTGCTATTTTTAGAAATCAACGGTATTTCAACGGTATTAGAGTTAAAATGCATCGAACGAAACGGAATATCGAGTTCAATACGACATAGGATAGCAGCGTTGAAATTATTATCCATGCACTGCAACCAAACCTAACCTCAAAATAACAAAAGGTATAGAGTTTTGAGAAAAATCTTGAATGAACATTGGTATGTTCGTACTGAGGATATGGAGAAAACATTACGATTAAATTCTGTTGAACAGGAAGTACAAAATTATACTTACAATTACACTGCACTGGATCAGGCTCGAAAAACACCTCAACCTCGCCATATTAGAGTGCTTCTGAAAGCAGAAGAAAAGCATCGTGTAATCGAAATAGATGTGAGCCTTTGTGCTAAATTAATAGAAATGTGAAAAATGTTTTCAATGAATTTTTTAATAATAAATCTTTCATTTAAATTGATTTGGAACTATTTTCTTTGCAAAAATCTTCAAGTTTCTTGTATGAGTTAAATTGGCTCACTTCGGTAAAAATAGGTATATAATCAACATCCAAAAATCTAGCTTTAAGACATTTTCTGAATTATAGGCCATCTATAACCCATGCAACGTCTCACTAACCACGCTCTGTTTTACAGTCTTAAACGGTGCTAACCTAACTCAAACACCTAATGGGAAAAGTGTAAAAGCCCTCGACGGAGATAATGAAATGATTTATAATTAAAAACTAAAATCTGTGTATTACATTAAAGTAATCTGAGAAATGAATCAAGTTGGACTCGAAGTTATCAGAACTCGAGTATTTACAGGTAGAACGTACTTTTCCTCTCTCATAACCGACATGGCGAAGGTATTGCGAAAGAGACAGTTGTACCTTGCAATTAATTTCGTTACTCGAACAGGCCTGAACCGCATAAACGTTACACGAATGCTTATAGGTGCTTATGATCATCGCGATCGATTACCTCGGGTGTGGTCGGTTGAGAAGTGAAAGTACCGTCGTGACAATAAAGATTGTACATTATTATGCCTACCATCTTTCGCGAAACCATTGTCGACAGTCGAAAGTTGCGTCGGGGAAAAAAATATCCCCGGTTGTAAATTTCGTCCGTTCGATACTTGCACGGCGTTCGCCATTCTGAGCTGCCGAACGGGAATATTTATGCTCTGTTAATCATTCGCCGTTCGAGGATAAAGGAATCCGTAAAATAACGTTATGGTAATAATATTATTGACGAATTTATGAAATGCAACCGTTAACTTTCCTCCTGTCACGCGTAACGCGAATCTCGAACACAATTGAATTCCCTCTCTGTCCGATGCTTACGAAAGTTCCGGAGCGAGGGTAATGAAATCGGCAAGTAACGAGTTTAATTTAATTTCGTCGAGATTATTCGGCTCGGTATCGTTATTAATGAGGATAATAAATAAAACTTTCTCAAAACGTTTTACGTCACCGTCGACGATCGTTATCTTAATTTCTATGGGCGGCGAACGTCGCTTCGTGAAAATTTGTCAGACACGCGCGCTCTCTCCGCCGAGGACAGCCGGAATCGCTAATTACGTGTAAGATACGAAACGTTTCGCTAGCGCCAGTCCATTAATATCGACATCGACAGACACGAACACGGTGGTCCACGAGGGAGGATTTCTCGAGTCCTCGTTAATCACCGTATCAAGAACAAGACAACTTAAGAGAGACTTAGAAAGCGTCCGGTTTCCTCTAATGACGCCGTTCCTACGATTTGCAATTCCGCGAAACTTGTGTTTCTGTACTTGATCTGTGGATCCGACTGTGGTAGTGACTTTAACGATAGGTATTTGTAACTTATTATTCGTTATTAAGGATTTTATTTTCTCTGGATAGAAGGTCGACGTTGTTAATATATAATATACTTTCGTATTTTACTATTCATTGCAAGTGTATCGGGAATATGTTAACTACGGATGTATTTGCATTTTTAATTCATTTTACATGTAAGAATGTCTTATCGGATCGAATAGTTATGCCATAACTTTTCTTTTCTTTTTTTTCCCTTGATTACTGGATAATTGTTATTGTAGTACGAGTTATAATTAGATTAAATACTTGATAATAAAGATACTATGTATACCTGCATGTTTTCCAGCGATTTTAAAAGATCACCGAGTACATCGTTGCGCCATCTATCTCGAACCAGACACAACTCGTAATGTCTGTATCAGTTCCCTAAGTTTTGTCCTATATTTAAATAAACAAAGAACGGAATGAATAAAAATGGTTTTGAAATTAATATTTGCAATATATTTTAAATAAAGTGTAGTGTTTAATTTTTGAATACGTCTGCATTACCTGCAAGTACTTCTCCTTACTTTTGAATATCCTGCTAGATGGCACTCGTTTACCTTTAATGAGACAGTTGGTTCTGTGATAACATTATTTTATATGTAATTTAAATAATAATTTAAACTACTTTATAGTTAGATTTGTACGTAATATGCTTGTATGTCATAAATGAAACTTATGACTCAAGCTTATAATTTCCACGAGCTCCTGATATTATTTTCACGTTTCACTACAAAAATAAATCAAAAATTTTATTTCCATTGTAATCTAATTTCAACAGGAATAATTTTATTTAGGTATTCGAATACTTACTTTATATTTTATTGTGTTAACAACGTGTTTAAAAAAGTTACAATATTCTTTTATTTATATTAAACATAAATTTTTACAAATCTCATACATAATACCTGATATAAAAATGTATAATTATTTCTATTTGTTACAAATACTTATTACATTGTTTTTGGTCATGTAAAGCAACCAATTATAAAATTTATTACATACATTTGTTAGCAAATTTCGAAATTGTTTTTCTTGAAATTTGGACGGATACTTTCTTAGACCATTATCAGTCTTTCGTTAAAATATGAAAGTTCTGAACTTTCGAGATGTTCGAGATATACAAGACGATCATATTATTTGTACATTACTGACACTTAAGTATGGTACTTATGTGTTCACGTTGGAAAACGTAATTTTGATAAATTGTTAGGTGTGTCTGGTAAGAGGGTATGGAATTCTTGTTATGAATATGTAATATTTAATTGTTAGAGTTTAGAACGAAAAGAAAAGCGGAATGAATACGTGCGTCACAAGAAGCGGAAGCCCAAACATATGCACAAAAATTAAGTTAACAAAGAGTTGCGATTATGTTAATCTACTATTTAAATAATGTAATTTTGGCTTAGTTTCCCTCTTTCTTATATTGTATTTTTTGTTAATTAAATAAATATAGTCATTAATCTAATAAAGGAAGGTTAAGTCCGCCTTCGATTACTTTGATTTTCGGATGTTATATAGGACTGGAACAAAAAAATACATATCTTTTTATTTTGGTCTGTTTTCATATTTACATCATGGCAAGAATAAATAAATATCAAAATGGGCCAAAATAAAAAGACATATACGTCTTAGTTCTCAGTTTGCTGTAACGTATCCGAATGTTAAAGAAGTCGGAGACGGACATCTAAAAATCCTCGATTCTAAGTGGCACCGGATCCACCTGTCCTTATTAAACTTGAAAACAATAGTTCATGGTATTTATAATACTAGATATGTCAAAATAAATAATCATAACCAAGTTGAACACATGACAAACAATATTGCTTTTATATGATTTAAATTACTTTAAATAATATTATTTCTCTGAAATAGATATACCTAGTAGATTATAAGTGTATCTGTAAGGAAATTGTATCGTACTTTGGTGTCAATTAATGTACTCTATATACTATAGCTACTATTATATAGCTATTTAAGGCCACAGGAGTTCTATATTTGGAGACTGTAGTTTCTCGAATACTTTATACATCGATACAGCAACTAACCAACAGTATATCTGAAAATAAAATATTATACATAATATACAATCAGTAAAAAAAGATAAGAAATAAATTATTGTATACATACATTATACGACATCCAGAGCCAATTACACATTGCTGCAAATGCTGCATCAAGCTAAAAGAATGGTATTAAAATAATAATGTACAAGTTTATAGGAAGCATTTATATAATCTGATACTTACATAGATGTAATAACCTCCTATAAGCCAAAGTCCAAAAACTAATTGGAATAAACATAGAAAGAACCATAGTATAAGCCAGGGGAGTAACCATCCCCTTATTCCTTCTTTTATACCATATACCATCAAACCTCCTGATACGATTAGACAAATGAAGTAACAGATGAAAAATCCTCCAACAACTTGCATTGCTAAAAGAAGTTACATTTTCATATAAATACTATCATTGTTCAATGTTATACTTACATCCTCTGATATCAGCCTCAAACAGAGGATTATACAATTGAGTTGAGTCACCTCCATTTAATTGGTAACTGATCAGTGTAATGCATATTACACTAAGAGTCTAAAACAAAAGGAAGGAGATGATGGGACATTACAATCACATAAATTACATTAGAAATAGAAAATGGAATATAACAAAAAATATTTAATTGTTCCTAATTTATGAAAAATACGTACGATTGTGTAAAAAGCAATAGCTTTACATCCTGTTTTCACATTATTGGTCCATACAAATGGTGACCAACAAGACTCCAACATGATTATGGTTATATGAAAATAAAAATTCTCGTGCAACAACTATATTCACGTTCACTACTTGCTAGAGAACGCGAATAATCCACTTAATAAATACCAACCACTTGTTGTTATTAGCGAATTCAATGCTTGGGCGTCGACACGTAAAAGGTCTACCAACACACAAAGTCCATAAACCAGAAAATACTAACGAAGAAATTCATGAACATATTTCTCACTCATATTTCAATCTTCAACATTTCAAAATTGCCAATTTGAATAAGACATTAATATACTTCAAATTGTATTGCAAAGACATTAAAATCAATACCATTAAGTAACATAAATATATAGTAATATAAGAAAATTTGTCCAGAATATATACGAAAGTACATCTTTATCCTGAATGACAATATAACTGAATCAAATGTAGTTTTTGCAACCTTACAAATGAAATGGGAATTCGTGTTTTGATATTTTAATGTAATGTTGAATGATTCGCTTAGCTTATCTCGAAGTCACTGATTGGTCACTACATATGTCAATGAAGATATATCATATTCAGGTTTACTCACATCTATCAAGGGAAATTAGTGCTTGGAGTTAATCTCTTGTTACGATATTCTTATACTGCAGTCACCATATTTCAAATATCGTAACTATTTGAAAAATCAATCTGAATACACAGCCACGCACGCGTTAGTGAGCATACTCTTAATGGCGCCATGTTGGCGTTCCTATCCCTTCCACTTTTCTCAGAGAACTGTTATGGCGGTTCTTTCGATACTTAAAAGTAGCCTAACAAGATTTATTCGTCTAATTACTGTACATATCTTTGGAATTTCAAAATTAAAGTAGCGCGAAATACAAATAATCAGAGTATATCTAATAATGAATATAAATGTTTAACACGGGGAACGAATTTTCTTTAAAAATATTAATTATTAAAATTAAATCCGCTGAATGCGTTTAACTTTTGTAGGTGATAAAAAAAAGAAAACTGTAGTATAACGTTACATGACTTACATACCTGATTTACTTTTTCAAATATATTTTAACGCTTTTACAAACGTGCAATTTACGAATTCTAAGTTAGGCATAATTTATTTATGTATAATTGTAATATTATACAAGCGCTGTACAAAAACCTGCAAATATATGGCGCAATAAAAGGGTTTGCAGTCTGAAGTATCAGATAATTTGTCATTGGTGTATTGCAGAATGTTTTCGCAACGAAGAACGAACAAAACCTTACACGTTTCACAACTGTCGATGTCTGGTAATGACGGAAGAATACGATCGTTTAGTAAAGCGTACCTTGACAACGCAAGGAACACATAATATGCAGTTAACATATGCATATTACCAAGAGTCGAGCATTGTCGGTGATTAACCCGTAGAAAATGTAGTTCAATGGTTTCGAATTACCTGCTTGCGGTTTCCGCGGCGAGCAGCCATTTTGGTACCGCAAATGCAAATAAACCGCCTGAAACCAGATAAGATCTGTGACTGATAATGCAGTCGCGAAACAAAACCGATGGCCCTCGAGTGCGCTGTACGTTAAGTCCCATAAACTTGCCTAAATACAACGACGGGAAGCATTCGCGTGATCGGTTACAAGCTGATACTATTAGCTACGAAACCCATGAAACAGCGGTGTTATAGACGCGGTAATAATGTCGAAAGAACATGGACCCCGTTTGCCGATTAATTTTCGAAACTCGTGCAAGACGATGTGGCTGCAAATGCTTATCAAAATACGTAACTCATTCCATTTAAGTGGCGCAATTGCAAACAACAACGCGTTTGTTGTTTTAAACGATACGTGTTCGCTGGATTCCTCGTTCGGGCATTAATAACGGAATGTCATAAGGCCCACGATTCAATGGAACGTTGTAGAACTCACGCGAGCCTTTTAAATTCCTATAGTCATCGAACACAATAGCATACTGCGTAATGGACGAGGTATTCTTCTCGAGACAACGAGATCATCGTGGTCTTAGTATTTCGATTGCGTAACGAAATATCGTAATTCAATTGTATCAACGCAATTTTATCATTTCAATAAACATTACTGCCTCTCCTTCGTCTCTCCATCTCGCGTCATACTCGATCAAGTTCAAACATTAGAAATTATTACGACGAGAGGAAAGAGAAGGAACGAAAGAAAACGAAAAACCTGAGAGAAGTGATGGAAACAATCGATAGAAATAGAGAAAAATACGATCGTTTCGGGGAAATATCGGTGTAATCGAATCGGTTTGAAGAATACGGCGAGAGTAATGGTATCTTCGATCGGAACCACTGCAACGAGAAGAATTTATACCATAGTTGGCACTCGATCTGCAAGTACGTGGAACGGCTCGTTATTGTAGGCATATCTAATATCAAGGGGATCGTGGATATTGCAACCATTGCTACTCTCTCGAGGGAAGAAGATCGCTACGTTGCCATACAGGTTACGGGAAGAAAACATGGATATAACGTGGATATGGCGGTAGTCCTAGAGCGGCGAACGCGTTTCGTAGACTCGCGAAGCCGGCTAGTCCAAAAGCTATAAATATGTAAGTATGAATGCGTGGAACCCCTCTCGATCCCTCGGGCCATCAAAATTCTCTGTCCTTTTCCCTTCGACTATTCGTCTCGATCATTTTCTAAGATAGTCCCGCCACCATATTGCTTTCCCGGCGATTCTAGAGGGCGTAAAGCACGATCCACACACGGAGTATCGCCGCGATATGCACGCGGATGGCGGAAAAAGAAATCTTCGTGGAGGATTCTACGCGTGGAAATTTATTCGAACTGGTTTGTTCGAGCAGTTCGCAAAGGAGCGGAATAAATGGTCACGCGCGATAAATAGAGGATTACTAAAATTCTTTCACTCGTTGTACAACCTTGCACGAGAGTCATGCTACACGGGGAAACGAAACGAAGACCTTGGAGGCATCTAGAGATTCATTGCTCGGATCTTCCGATGTTAGCGAGACACCAGAAGGAAGATTAATGTTTGTCTCGGGAATTATAATGTGACAGTTCATTTTAACGTCGCGTAAGTGTGAATTAGCTTTAAACTGGCTCTCAATTTAGGTGTCGGTTGAAAGCATCGCGTACAACGTTGCCGCCGTTTCCATTCTTGAAGGCATATCTCGACCTCGTGAATGGTAAGTCTCGTGGCGACGCCGTTACGTAGTTAGTAAAGGCAACACCAATAGATTTTCAATGAACAACCGGCACGTGACTTCGCCTGTGCTTACGGAAAATGGTCGAATCGGGAGATAATAAATTAACGTTACCCCATTGTGACCGGAAGGGGCTCAAGAAGCCCGACAGCCTGCAATTTCAACGTATAACTGGCAACCATTCGTTTACAATGAAACTCGAAACGAATTTTGAACATTTGAAGAATTCTAAGATGGCCGAAGTAGAGCTTAAATTAATTCCAAGCAAATGGACAGATCGGAAACAGGAGCATAGGCTAGCTGACGAAAAGTATCAACAAGTAGAGTTCGCGAAGCTGGAAGAAGTAATTTTACTATTAATCTAAACCGTTCGTTCGTGATTTATCTGTAACTCCGGGTTCGAGTTTTCGCACGTAGAGTCGATACGAAAATGTTGCTTACGTGCAGGATTAAAATAGTGTTCCCGTGGAAAATATAAACGCGAAAGAGGGAAACGTAAAAACGAATAAAGTTGATAGTCTATGCTGACACGTTTATCGAATAAGTACCATCGAATGGAGCCGAAATTTTGACGAAAAATAAACTCGCGCGAGTCGCGACGAGGCGTACGAAATAAATCGCCGGACTGTAATTAAATTTGCGCACTGGTACTTCGCGTTTCGAGCGGGTTAACACGGTACGCGTTGCAGGAAAGGAATCGGTGCAACAAAAAGTTGTTCGAACAACTTTGCGTTTCGCGTAGAATGCGCTTCGGGAAAAACCGTGTAATGCCATGCAGCTGATTTAAAATTAAACGCATGCTACCGAATCAATTCGGGGATCGAGTATTTATTCCGACACGAAATATCGACGGAAATAGAAAGAAACGTGCACAATTTTTTTCGTTCACCTTCAAATCGATTCTCGCTTCGTAATTCGAATAGAAATACTCGTTTGGAACGCTGTTTTCGAGACGGAGGAATGTTTACGCTGCTCGGCGTACTTATTCCTGTACGAAGCTATCAGAGTTATCGGAAACGCGATATAGCCGACTCCTTTTGTGTCGACGATTTCGCGTTACTCTACGCTGCTATTTCGTCCCGTATTATTCCGTGCTCTGCAGTACTTCGCACCATGCAAACTCACTATGCCATCGTCGATCAGGTAACACCGCGAGGGAATTAAAACGAGCACGTAAAAACACCGCAACACCGATCCACACGTCGCATCAGCGAGACACGCTTGAATCCCAGTCCGTTCCCGCCAAAACGGTACCATCGATGCCACTTCGCAACGAACGAGTCGCATACCTCTCTAAATCTTATCACCAAATAGCAGGGATCTCTTGCGAATCCCTCGAAACCACGTTTTCGCGATGTCGCGAAAAAGTTCCCAAACTCCGAAACACTCCGAGACACTGGATTCACGGTGCACAGCTCGAACGAAAATTCCCGACACCCAAGGACCACTGGTGGCGAAGAAAAAATACCGATGGAAGAAGAAAAACTCGG